TCCAGATTTGCGTTCATCTGCTTTGGATAAATCTAAACACTGGACAAATCTGAACGTGCTTTTAGCGACACTCACTGGACATTTCTTTTCCGAACTGCCGCAAAACATACAGTACAATAGCAAGAGTTGGGGGATGAGCATCTTGCGGCCTGGATATCCCTTCCTGGTAATGCCGTGCCTTTGTTTGGCAAGATCTTCTGCCGTCAGGAACTGGAAGGCAGTGAGTGTTTTGTGTGCATGTGTTGGGAGGGCTGTTTGGCTGGCTTGTAACTGTGTTTGACCCCTTGCCGGGCCATGGCTAATGCAAGTGTGGGCTAGTGAATGGACCGAGGTCAGTGCCCAGTGACACATGACCTGCCATGGTTAATTCCAGCCGAACAATGGATCTGGCCCTGCCGGGAGATCATCCCATTACACCTCCATGCCAAATTAATTGTTTGTTTTCATGGCCCGCTCTTATGTTGACCCTGCGGTCAACTTGCTTTAATAACATTCGGTGTTAACCTGGGAAAAAGTAGAGTGCAATCCGGTCCTAACACGGAAGAAGCTCAGGTTTGTCAGGACCTTCTCCACACTGTCGCAAATGGACTCTCAGTGCTTGCTCAAAAACCATCAATTATGTGAGGTAATATCCTTTTTCACAAATAGTACTTGAGAAGTGACTGCAAACACAAGAATGTGCCCAAATATAAATGCAGGTAGAGGTGAAAAGAAGCAGTGGAAGCTGATGGAGAGCAGTGTGTCACAGCACTTTGTGTTTAAATAAAGAGACTGCTGAATGCGGAGAGCACAGCGCTGGCCTGGGAGCTTCGAGAGACAATAATGTGACAGAGTTTCAGCACCGCAGGGCTGCCACATTGATACTGCATAAAAGTTCTACAGTTACACCTTGCCGTACTGTATTGTGTTCCAACAGGACGCCCTACACTAAGATTAATTATGACTCATATACTCATTTACATACAGTGCACTAGAAGGCAGAGGTGTAACGTATTTAGGCGTATACACTTCCCCTGCATTATTCAGAAAAGTAGTCAATCAATAAAGGGTTTTAATTTCTTAATCTTACGATTCGTAACGTTTTTGGTCCAGATGTATTAATTTACTAAAAAAAATATATACATAAAAATGTGATTCATGCACATAATGACTTGAATACACCTTCATTATGATAAGCATGTTTTAATTTTCTCAGTTGAAAGTCATTTTAATATTTTTTGGTTGGAAATGCTAAAAATGTCAGGGTGATGCAACTGTCCTCCTGATATTATAAATTATTCAAAGGAAGCCCTAATTAATTAGTTTGGTATCATTTATTTCTTAGAAGAAAAATGACCAAAAAAAAAAAGTTTTACTGCTTATTAATAATTGAAAACTTTTGTCTGCCAAATCAAAGTCATGTGGTGCAACCAACATGCAGAGACATGTAAGGAAAAAATATAAAACAAAAGTATGTTAACAAATCTCACAAATTAACAGATAATTTGGTATTTTTAGGACAAGACAGGTTAGTTCAGGTTCTAAAATGTCATGTGGTGTGATTCCCAAAAATTTAATGACATTTATGATTTTATAGTTCATGATATTTGTTAAAACAAACAGACAAACAAAAAAACTTACCTCGAAAAGTAGAAGTAAAATAAAGATGTGTACACACATGTATTTGGACGGGGTACTAAAAATATAATGCATTTTACTTCATGGTCATACCACATGACATTACATTTAAACAGTTCAAGTTTTTCAAAACCTTGTAAAAAACCAACATATATACAAAGCATTTTAAAAATAATGAAAAGTAACAAATCAAAATAATGCATTTTAATGTAATTACTTACTATGTAATAATTAATTGCATAAATCAATATTTGCCAATAAACTTAAAATGAAGACAATTAAGAAAAAAAATCACAATATTGTGACAGGCGAAAGTTTTGAATATACAAACAATGTACTGACAATCAATCTTTTGTTGTTTTTGAACATAAGTCACTGATATACAGCAATTCATTTTCCAAATGAGTAATACCAACAAATGAACAACTAATGTTTCAACCAGTAGCATGACAAAGCATCTTTTATCACATTATTTTACACAAAAAGCTTCATAGCTGAATGAGATAATCAAAGACTCCCTTAAACTGGCTTGAAAAATGTTGAAAAGTGCAGCTGATTTTAGTGAATCAGTTTGTTTGGTTGCTTCATTCCAATAAATCAATTCAAATAAACGACTCACTGATTCATTTTAGTCCCTCTGTCTTTTTTGTAGCAAAACATGTAGTTAAAAAACTTCTGTATCTTCAACTTTGTTCTATAAAAGTTTGTTTTCTAGTATTTTTTCTTCGATTTACAGTAGTTTAAAACTGTAGTATAGTTAACTACTTTTTACTAGGGTAACTTGACTGAAGCTTAATTATAAAACTGTATTTATTTTTGAATAAACATATAAAATGCATTCAGACAAACAAAAAAACTTACCTCGAAAAGTAGAAGTAAAATAAAGATGTGTACACACATGTATTTGGACGGGGTACTAAAAATATAATGCATTTTACTTCATGGTCATACCACATGACATTACATTTAAACAGTTCAAGTTTTTCAAAACCTTGTAAAAAACCAACATATATACAAAGCATTTTAAAAATAATGAAAAGTAACAAATCAAAATAATGCATTTTAATGTAATTACTTACTATGTAATAATTAATTGCATAAATCAATATTTGCCAATAAACTTAAAATGAAGACAATTAAGAAAAAAAATCACAATATTGTGACAGGCGAAAGTTTTGAATATACAAACAATGTACTGACAATCAATCTTTTGTTGTTTTTGAACATAAGTCACTGATATACAGCAATTCATTTTCCAAATGAGTAATACCAACAAATGAACAACTAATGTTTCAACCAGTAGCATGACAAAGCATCTTTTATCACATTATTTTACACAAAAAGCTTCATAGCTGAATGAGATAATCAAAGACTCCCTTAAACTGGCTTGAAAAATGTTGAAAAGTGCAGCTGATTTTAGTGAATCAGTTTGTTTGGTTGCTTCATTCCAGTAAATCAATTCAAATAAACGACTCACTGATTCATTTTAGTCCCTCTGTCTTTTTTGTAGCAAAACATGTAGTTAAAAAACTTCTGTATCTTCAACTTTGTTCTATAAAAGTTTGTTTTCTAGTATTTTTTCTTCAATTTACAGTAGTTTAAAACTGTAGTATAGTTAACTACTTTTTACTAGGGTAACTTGACTGAAGCTTAATTATCTTTATATATTATTATATAAAAATCTCTCTCAAAAACCAAGTAAAGCTATGTCCAAACATTTCAAAATGATTCTTACATTGATGTATTAACAAAGACCAATACCGTATGGCAGAAATTACTAATCATTTTAACAAATCAAAATAATGCATTTTAATGTAATTACTTACTATGTAATAATTAATTGCATAAATCAATATTTGCCAATAAACTTAAAATGAAGACAATTAAGAAAAAAAATCACAATATTGTGACAGGCGAAAGTTTTGAATATACAAACAATGTACTGACAATCAATCTTTTGTTGTTTTTGAACATAAGTCACTGATATACAGCAATTCATTTTCCAAATGAGTAATACCAACAAATGAACAACTAATGTTTCAACCAGTAGCATGACAAAGCATCTTTTATCACATTATTTTACACAAAAAGCTTCATAGCTGAATGAGATAATCAAAGACTCCCTTAAACTGGCTTGAAAAATGTTGAAAAGTGCAGCTGATTTTAGTGAATCAGTTTGTTTGGTTGCTTCATTCCAATAAATCAATTCAAATAAACGACTCACTGATTCATTTTAGTCCCTCTGTCTTTTTTGTAGCAAAACATGTAGTTAAAAAACTTCTGTATCTTCAACTTTGTTCTATAAAAGTTTGTTTTCTAGTATTTTTTCTTCGATTTACAGTAGTTTAAAACTGTAGTATAGTTAACTACTTTTTACTAGGGTAACTTGACTGAAGCTTAATTATAAAACTGTATTTATTTTTGAATAAACATATAAAATGCATTAAATCTCTCTCAAAAACCAAGTAAAGCTATGTCCAAACATTTCAAAATGATTCTTACATTGATGTATTAACAAAGACCAATACCGTATGGCAGAAATTACTAATCATTTTTGAAGACAATCAGTTATCTTGCATTAAAATGGTTTTATTATAAAAATGGATTGAAGTTTATTTTGGTGAAATGAGTCACACAGAACAAAATGGCATTAGTAAATTCCATATGCACGACCATTTTAGCACGGCTCCAAACTATGCATTTACTGCAGATTCTTACATTGATGTATTAACAAAGACCAATACCGTATGGCAGAAATTACTAATCATTTTTGAAGACAATCAGTTATCTTGCATTAAAATGGTTTTATTATAAACATGGATTGAAGTTTATTTTGGTGAAATGAGTCACACAGAACAAAATGGCATTAGTAAATTCCATATGCACGACCATTTTAGCACGGCTCCAAACTATGCATTTACTGCGAGGTCAAAGTTGATGCTTCAAGTGTGCTGACACCGACGTCCCCAAATGTGCAGATCTGGTCCTCCGCGAGACGACGAATCAGGAGAATTCAGCCCACAGGTCTGGACAGAACCTACAAAAGCTAAAACAAATACTGTGATTAGGAATTCGAGCAGCTCTGAGAGTGATGGAGCTGCTATCTCTACCAATCACTCCAGTTATTTGCGTTTAAAAGGCTATAGTTTAGACTGCAAACACTAGTTTGGGTCCAATCTTCCTGATGGAGGGGGGGAGGTCAGTTGGTCAAAGTGACGGATGTTGTGTGTGTGAAGATGCAAAAAGCACCATCGAAAACAAGCACGATGATCACAAACAATTATCATTTATTTATTAATATAACGGAAAGCCACTTGAAAGGAAAACAATTCAACAAGGTGTCTATATTTCCTCTCAAAAGACTCTCTCTGGGAAACATGGATTGAAGTTTATTTTGGTGAAATGAGTCACACAGAACAAAATGGCATTAGTAAATTCCATATGCACGACCATTTTAGCACGGCTCCAAACTATGCATTTACTGCGAGGTCAAAGTTGATGCTTCAAGTGTGCTGACACCGACGTCCCCAAATGTGCAGATCTGGTCCTCCGCGAGACGACGAATCAGGAGAATTCAGCCCACAGGTCTGGACAGAACCTACAAAAGCTAAAACAAATACTGTGATTAGGAATTCGAGCAGCTCTGAGAGTGATGGAGCTGCTATCTCTACCAATCACTCCAGTTATTTGCGTTTAAAAGGCTATAGTTTAGACTGCAAACACTAGTTTGGGTCCAATCTTCCTGATGGAGGGGGGAGGTCAGTTGGTCAAAGTGACGGATGTTGTGTGTGTGAAGATGCAAAAAGCACCATCGAAAACAAGCACGATGATCACAAACAATTATCATTTATTTATTAATATAACGTAAAGCCACTTGAAAGGAAAACAATTCAACAAGGAGTCTATATTTCCTCTCAAAAGACTCTCTCTGGAGTGTGTTTAGCAAATTACAGACCCTGGAATTTTCTCATAATTGGCCATTTTATCATTTTGTTACAGGGAGCTTATTATGAAGGGGCTCCCAATATGATTTATGAAATACAATTAAGTGTGAATTCTTTCAGCGCCTCATTGCTGGGCTGCAGCACGGCGCGTATCTGCCGCACTACATTGAAATAATATGTAAATACCGTTAAGTAATTGGAAAAACAGTCATGAACGGGAAGAACATGTGACCGAGAAGGGAAAATTGTGGGTGGATTGTGGATTTGTTCCCCCCTCCCGATAAATATTCCAGGGGCTTCCCTCCCATCATCTCTATTTTTAAAGTGGAGAGCGAAACGGTCTCCAACTGATAGAGAAACTCATTTCGTAGAGCATGTTCAAAGAGATACGCCTGCTGCGGAGATTGAACGCTCTCCACGAGCCAGTTCCTCTTTGTCAAACAAAAGACGCTAATGACGTTGATCTCTTTCCAGGCCAAATTGCTTAGTTAAGATTACCACATTTTTGGTTGGTCAGAAAAGGACTGTTAATTTCAATGTAGCTATAAACAGTACGTTAATATTGCATACAAATAATCAGTGAGAAAAATGACAGATTAAATGACAGTCAAGCAATTTTTGATTCTGTTATTAGTGAAGTTTGCTAAAGTATGCATATTGCAATACATATTGGTCAATTAGTAAAGTTCAACTTAACTCATTCTGCTACAGACGTGAATGATACAATCGGCTTGTTGAATTCATTTTCATAAAATGGCTGAAGAATTCTATATCTAGAGACTTTGCTGTGGGTTCTTTTGACTTAACTACCCACAACTAACTCCTAGAAAACACTCAAAACACCCTAGCAACTGCATAGCAATGCACTAATAATCGTTACCTATCACCTTAGTAACCGCATAACAATGACCTAGCAGCCACCCACAACACCCTAGTATGACGGTAAGAAGTTTTACATGGCCTCACACTCACATTTACTTCAAATAATGTTACTTTTATAATAATATATGTAAATATATGCTATAATGCTATTTTAGTATCATTAAGATACTATTATACTTTTGATAAAATTGCATTTTTACAATTAAGTTTTGAAAGATATTTTTTAATATAGTTTATTTTCATATTTTCCATTTTCATTTAAACTTTTTTATTTAAATTAATTTTACTTTTTCATATTTAGTTAAAATTTTTGTAATTTCTTGTGTTTTTGTCATTTTTATTTATTTATTTTAAACATACATATATATTTATTTTTAAATTACTTTTTAGAAATGTTACTTTGCAAATAGCTGAAATAAACAGCTTTTATTTCAAGCTGTAATTTTATTTATTTATTTATTTATTTTTAGTTTTAATTTTAGTTTACAATAATTCTGATCCAAATTATCATTATTTAGATAATTCAATAAACCAACAAACAAACTGTAGGAGACTATATTTCTCTGTCTATTAATTATAATATGTGAGCCTGGAGCACAAAAGCAGTCTTAAGTCGCTGGGGTATATCTGTAGCAATAGCAAAAAAAACAACAACACTGTATGGGTCAAAATGAACGATTTTTCTTTTATGCCAAAAATCATTATGATATTAAGTAAAGATCATGTTCCATGAAGATATTTAGTACATTTCCTACCGTAATATATCAAAACTTAATTTTTGATTAGTAATATGCATTGCTAAGAACTTCATTTGGACAACTTTAAAGATGATTTTCTCAATATTTAGATTTTTTTGCACCCTCAGATTCCAGATTTTCAAATAGCTGTATCTCAGCCAAATATTGTCCTATCCTAACAAACCATACATCAACGGAAAGCCTATTTATTTCAGCTTTCAATTAAAAAAAATTGACCCTTATGACTGGTTTTGTGGTTCAGGGTCACATATGACAAAACACAGTTTCCCATCATTCTTTAGGCTTTAAGCGCAACCTTACAACACACATACACTCTCGGAAGTCTAGTGACAAAGTATGGTACATGTTCAACAGCCGTCCAAAAGAGAGGACAGTTATAAACTACACTTTTGTTCACTTTTCTCTCTTTCTTCCTCCTCTAGAAATATGGAGGCAATGCCTTGAGGCTTTCCAGTCCTCATTGTGAGGACTGCCAGTTCTGTTTGGGCTCATTGTTCTCGTCTAATCAGCCATGGCAAATGTGGAGCCCTCCAGCTCATTACGTATTCGCACTCAGAAGTGACCATGGGAAGTTTTCGGAGGCCCAGCCCCGGCATGGGCTGATGAATTACCTGCCTAGACGACACCTAGTGAATCCGCGCCGTTGCCGTGGCAGTGATCTCTGATGGGACCGTCGACTCATCGCTCATCCCGGTGGTCAAACAAGCGCCCCCTCCTTCCCCTGCTCCAACCAGCTTGAGTTTCACTATTGCCGACTCTTCTTTCAGCACCTCTGCCCCCCTTCCACACACTCTATGCTCTGTTTACAAACTCCTGCTAACGATGGCCGCCCTGACGAGCTTATACAAGGCCTGTTGGCAGTAGTGTCTGACATTTATCCTTCATGCACCAAGACCGAATGTTATATCAAACACTGAAGAATATAATATTCCTTAGACTTTCTTAACAGATAAAAGTTAATCTTGCGTAAAAGCTCATCTACCGTCTTGTCTACAGCAGTGGACAAATTCAACTCAGACTAAATTAAATATGGGTTAAATACAGGATAAATATATGGTCTGTGCTCACCACAATTTGTTGTGTGAAGTGACATTTACACTGTCAGAAAAAGTTATGTGCAAAATGTGTACCTTTATGGGAACAACAATTTGTCACTGATGAAGAGTCCTTTGAAGGACAAATTTGTACCCCGAAAATGTGCAGATTAGGTCTAGAGTAGTAATATGTACTCTTAAGGTCCTACTATAAACCTTATAGGGGTAGATAAGGTACAAAGTTGTCTCTTTAAGGGTAACTGGGACAACGGACAAGCTGTTGTACCCCTTTTTCTGAGAATGTAGAAATCAACCGTTTACTTTTGCATGATAAACAATGTTAAAACTTTGTTTCTCTTGAAGCAAAATCAGTTGAGAACCGCCTATTTAATGCACCAGCTTTAGAAAATCACCTGCATATTTGTGGCTCTAGAGGTTGTTCAGGAGTTGGACAGGTTCTGTGACCACTGGGAACTTATTTTAGTGAGTAGTAGGGGGCGGCGGATGCCAGCTGTATGGGTTAACGTGACAATAATTTGAGTTGACTCACCCATCCCGTTCTCTAATCCCCTGGATATACTGCACTCATACAGGTGTCCACACAATCCAATTATCACCGCCATGCTTGAGTAGAAAAAAATACTAGAAAAAAAAGAGGAGGGAAAAATCAAGTCAAACATCTACTGTCATTCAACTTTGCCAAGTATGCATGTACAGTAGTATTGCTGTAGACCGTAGAGGCATGTCTACTGTTGTTTTGAAATCTATTAATGCATATTTACATGCTTGCAGTAATTTATGAATGGGTAGTCTGGTAGTCGAGTAGCTAGCAAGTTTTCTGATCTGTGCTTTGAGAAAACCACCTTCCTTTGAATACCACGCTTGTGGCACACTTTTGTGTACATGTGGAACTGATACCAACTTCCCTTTCGTTTTATTGCCTCATTTCCATTACTGACATGTGACACTCAACAAAACACCACAACAATGCAGGGAGCCACAATCACAGGTGCATTCACGGAAAATCTCATCCGCCCATCTCACGACTCACGACCTGTAGAACACGTCTGAAAGTGACAGTGTCCCCCCACTGGTTTGGTTACTAAAAGAATGGCAGTGGGCTGATTTTCAAGCATGTAATGTGCTTTCTTTCTTTCTTTCTTTCTCCTCCTGCTGTTGTTGAAGGAGGGGGCATGTGTTTCCTTCCCTGTAAGATCCCACTGTTTGGCCCCCTATAGGGACAAAGACCCTTAGATAGAGGCTATGCCTTTTGGTACACTCCCCCTTCGAGGATCATGTCGAGGACTGCGGGAGGAAGTGTGAGAGATTTCTGATCTCTTCCTGAGCCAGCATCCAGCATGTGGGCTAAAGTCGGCTGGAAGACCCTCTCGACAGATGGAGTCAATCCCACTTCCCCCTTGGATTCAATAATCCAAATTTCTCCTAAAACTCTTCCCTCAAACTTTTCCTTATAGTCCTCAATGGATCTTTGGATGCGATTCAGGAGTGAAGCTGCTCTCTCGTGTTGACTTTTATTCTGACCTTCTGAAGTCATTTGTCATTAGAGCCTTGTGTGTTTGAATTGTGGCTTACTGTATATCTCTCCCATTCTTTTAGCCGTCTCATGCTCATATCCCCGTATAGTCCAAAGTAAACCAAAGTATCATTAATTATTAGAAAACAATGGGATGTATGGCCCCAATCACAATGGTCCTTGGAGAAACTAACAACTGTCTAAGCAAATATGAGTCTTAATTGGTCTGCGCTAAACTGCCATGAGCTCAGTTAATGACAGCAAATATCCTTATGGGAGTTCTGTTTGAGTCCCAGCAAAATTGGTATAACTCTGCAAATATAAATTCACGTCTCTCCGGATGAGTTTAGGATGAGGTTTAGCTGCTTAGCTACAGCAAGTAAAGTTGCTTAAAAGTGGCAAAAGTAGCAATAGCTTGTTTGGCAACAGATTCCAAAAATGCCCAGTCTATTGAATGCCATTGTTCCTAGGCTATATTTACCAATGCACAGGGTCAATACTCCTTCAGTTTAAAAGGTTAGAAAAAGGAACTTTATAAAGCCGCAAACAGTGGTTGGGAAAGAAAAGAAATAGTTCACAAGGACTTGCCACATTCCAAGAAGTTAGTACTTGCCCCCCTCAGACAGTTACTGACAGGAAGTTGAGAAGCAGTCACAATGGCCCACCGTGATCCAGCAAAGACACCCAAGACCAACTGGGTTCCTACAGCCGTCACCCTAGAAATGCATTCAAATGTCAGCATCCTTGAGGACATTTGTTCCTCTTGAAGCACCTCTGGAATTCACTCAACTGTATGAAAAATTCACTCAACTGTTGAAAAATTTGGGGATGAGGAATTGGAGGGCTTCTATTCATGGATTCCACAATGCATCTGGTTTGTGTGTCTCTAGAAGAGAGAATGTAAGAATTCAGTTATGAGGAGGCCATTGTAATGGAAGGTGTGAGTTGGATACGAGAACAGGAATGTATTTACTATTTTGGTTATGGGTAAACTAACCAGCTCTAACAACCGTAAAGTGTAGAAAGATAGTTTTTCTTTTTTCGATATCCACATCTGGCTCATCAAATTCCTTCTATTGGTCATATATATATATATATGAAATATGGGCTCAATACGGGTTTTTTTCATGTTTTTGAAAGATGCATTTTATGCTCATAGTAAACAATAAAAACAATACATTTAAAATAACTGTTTTCTATGTGAATATATGTAAAAATGTAATTTATTTCTGTGATCAAAACTGAATTTTCAGCAGCATTACTCCAGTCTTCAGTTATCCTTCAGAAGTCATTCTAATCTGCTGATTTGTTGCTCAAGAAACATTTCTGATTATTATTATTATTATTATCGTTGCTAAAAAGAGTTATGCTGCTTCGTTTGAATATTTTTGTTGATTTTATTTTTCAAAAGTATTTGATGAACAAAATTCAAAAGAGCAGTATTCATTTGAAATAAATTTTTGTAACATTATAAATGTTTTTACCATCACTTGTGATCAATTTAATGCACCCTTGCTGAATGATAACAAAAAATAAATAAATACAAATCTTACTCCAAACTTGAATGTATTGTGAATGTACAAAGAACGTATTTGAGTGTATATATTATTGAGTGTGTATATGTATCGCATGAAAAGAATAAAGTCTGTTTATTCTATTCTATTTTCTTTATTGTTATTGTTATAAGTTTCCATTTTGGGCATTATTTGACAATTACATGATCATTAATGACAGGCCATTTAAAAATCAATCAGCATACATTCAAGGCAATGAAACAAACACTCTCATGGTGTATAAATATTTACAATTTAAACTATTACGGATAATTAAGTAAAAACAAATAATTGTTCAAAATGTATAATTTTATCATAATCTAAATATTGTATAATCCTTATTTTAGCATAACAGTAATAACATTTTGTGTCAGGAAATGTGCTTAATTGTCATATAAATGCAAATAAATAAATAACTGAAAGAGGAAAGAAATCTTTGTGGACAAGCTCTTTTATAGGTTTGGTCAGCTTTACGACCAACTATTGCTGCGAATTATGCAGCCTGGTTTTTAGCAAAAAGTTAACCCTTGAATTGTTTGTTTTCCAGTTGACATAAATGGAACTAGTCTAAAAAAGAAGCTATGTCAGTTTTGCTGTCCCTCTTGAACACCCTATTTTTCATCATTTAGTCAAAAGGAAGGCCTTGTTTGCTCCCCCAAGACAAACCTCTGTTGAAATCTCTGTTGAATCACAGAGAGCTCGTACACAGTTTCGTCTTTTGACAAAGTTTAGGGCCGCAGAGAAAGAGCCGCCTTGTGTGAGGCTTCACAGTACAGCTGGCCTGCTTTCCTCCAGTAGTTTATTAGACACGGGCTCTTAATGAATGGGAGTCGCTGTTACAGTAAGTGACAATTACTCGACTTATCTTGCTCGCCACCAGCGATCTCACACATCCAACATGGCCATCATAATTCCTGCCATCATAAAGAGGGCTTGTTGGGCACTGGCAGCATCCACAATACCCGTCCTTCAGAGTCAGTTCATGCCATCTCTGACTGTGTTTTCTGGGTTTATTGGGGTACAGTAGCGTGAGGCTTCATCGCGGAGTAGAGAAACTTAGAGAGGGATGCAAATAAACAGGTCCAAGTAGGGTTAAGCCCTTTACAAACGACATGAGCGGAAACTGCACAGCCCTGGCACTCCTACAGCAGCCATCTCTTGTTTCTAATTGCTTAGAAAAAAAGAAAAGGAATGAAATGCAACTGGTAAACATTGCGACGGCATGAGTCAATCAGGTCTGGGAAGGTCTCTTGGTCTACTGCTGTGATCTATTGTCATACCTCAAGTATTAAATTTGCTTGATATATTCTAAAGATTACCCCTTATTGTTATTCAAATCTGCATTTAATCGCAAAAACAAATTCTGCTATTATTTATCACCCTTCGTGTCACTTCAATCCCGCATGCTGTTATTATGCAAGTATGCAAGTTCATGACTATGTCAAGCTCCAATAATGACAAAAAAACATCATAAAAAGTGCATAAAAGACCTTTAATCTAAACATACATTGGAAAAATGGTGTGGAAAAATGTTCACTCTGAATTGCTAGTAAATTTCACAAACAATTACTCAGAAATAGCATGTAACACACTGAATTAAACATAGTGGAATAGTATTTTCTTGAAAAATGTAGTCTACTAATTTTTTTTTATTTACAACTTTGAATAATTAAAAAAAATTTACTGCATAGAAGCAATGAGGTTTCAGAGCTTTGGCCCGAAAGGAACCTAATTGTTCAACAAAAATTTGAACAACAAATTTTCCTCATACAAAGCTATTGTGTAGGTTTTACTTTGTAACAATTTTCACTTAGAAATTGCTAGTAAATTTCACAAATACAAAGAAACAGCAACTAGCACATTGCATAATTTTTTTTTTTAAAGTAGAAAGACTGAAATAATATTTTCTTGTAAAATGTAGTCCACTTTGTAGTCCGCTAATCTTTTTTTAATTTTTTTTACAGAGTACAAGAAATGAGATGTCAGAGCTTTGCCTGAAAGGAAAGCAATTGTTCAACAAAATAAAAAAAATAAAACATTATAATAAAAATTCCCCATACAAAGCAATCTTTGGACTTGTACTGATTGTATTTTTGGTGTAGGATTTCCAAAGAAACAGCGAGGAACACATTGAATTAAACGTGAATGTTTGATGCAGAAAGCCTAAAAATTGTATTTTGTAATAAAACATACTCCAATAATCTTTGAAACATTTTTTACAGTGTACTTTTACAGTCACTATGAACTGTTTTTGTATGGAAAAGATGTGCATAATAAGTCTTTTTGTGTTTCAAATAGTAACAGAGCACAGGTTTGGGTGAGTAAATTTCATTTTCATGCTTAGCTATTCCTGTAAAGCGAACTTAATGGATTTGAGGAAACGTTCCTGTAAATCTGCCTCTGGTCTGGTGGCATATTAACTGTAATTCTGCCTTCTCACCATTAGAAATCTTCATTCAGTGTGTAATCCTGATTTGCAAGTAAAAACACGAGAGGCTTTGGTGTGTCAGAGCGGCAGTATTAGACAAACAAAGGTGTGTGTGTGTGTCACGTTT